TATTTTTATATCAAGAGATAATTAACATTGTGGATAAGATAGAAGGATGGAGGGAGACATAAATATATACGTTTGAAATAAATCCAACAGAGACGACTGATTTTAAACAGAGGTGCACCCTGAAGTGCAGTCTGTGTACGCTATGGAAACATTGTCCTTATAAGGTAATGTATTTCTTACTGTCTCATACTGTCCTGTGTCCAGTGATCCTGCTGACTTTCAGAAAGCAGTTTGGGTGTGTGGAAGTTGAACCTGAAACATCAAAAGCACGTGTTGGTTGGTGTGGGTGTATCTGTCTGAGTTACTGTTAATCCTCATAGAACAATGGTGGCAGCCGGTCTTAATAAATGTCCTTACTTTGATCCAAAACCTCACACACACATCAGCATTACTGAGTAACTTTTAGTGTGAGCTTTGTGCACATACAAGTGCCTATAAATCACATTTAGTAGCCCCCATGCAGCCTAAAACTGAATTTATTTAAATGCATGCTATGGCTATTTGTATATCAATATGACCTTTTATATGCAAATAGTATTTAGCCCAAGCCAATTTGTTTTTATGTAGAAAGTGTTACAATCAACAAACTAACAAGCTTTTTAACTACAATGATGAAAATCCTATGTTGGAATGCTTTTAAGTTATTAACATTAATAACTTTAACTTTAGCAATTGTTTGACATTTTGGGAAGTTGTTTTAGCATGAAGACTTGGAAAAGGAGGAAACAGATAGCCTGGGAAGCAAGCAACTACAGGGAACTATGTGGAGGCCAAGAGGTATCAAACATTACGCTTAGTTAAATGGCAAGTTTTTTTTTCAAACACTTCTTTTTGCACATATTAAACAAACTAGATACAATGGTTTACTTAGTAAGCTTTACATGTAGCTGCTACCCCTGTTTAAAGTATTTAAGCTAAGCTAAGCTAACCAGCTGCTGTCTAAAGCTTTAAGAAAGAAGTGTATTTCCCAAAATGTCAAGCTCCTTACTGCTTTCACATTGGATACAATAATAACTGTAAGGGCCTACAGTTGCTTCAACAAAAGTTTCTTATTAAAATGTATTAGGTTTCTACATTGTGCTACTACACATATCTTCCTTTAACCTTCCACTAAGATACTATGTTGCTCTTTATGATTGACCATTCACTGCTAAACCCCACACTGAACTTTTCCATTGCATTATTTACATTTTTTCCACAGCTCAGCCCACTTTAAGACCTGCCACTTTGCTGCGGCATTCCAAGATAAGCCTGCTCGTCGCAGCCCTTAACTTTTATGATTGTGGGAATTTGTCTCTAGCCACATGTAATTGTGTTGGATCAAAGAGCTGGAGTAGAGGTAAATGGCTGCAGAAGTCAGAGAGCACCATAAATTCTCCTTTTTCTTAAACCGTTGACAGATGTAACCTAGTAACATCACTACAAGGTGTAGTACAAATAAGAAAGGTGTATCTCATGTCAATGATGTTGTTTTTGCAGCGTTAGATGCCATGTCAGGGCTTGGAAATGGCAACTATGCCAAGTCCATCACAACTACATACACCCTGGTGCCACTGGGTATTGCCAAGTCAATTATTGTCAGCAGGTAGAGTGAAAGGTAAGATGGGAGGGTCAGGTTTCACAAGCCTATTTGGTTTGTTGTTATGGCAACTGAAGCCAGACACCTCCTCAGGTGACATCAGGTACAATAATGAAGCATGGATCCGGAGCAGAGGGAGCCTTTTAAAGTATGAATGCTGGTCTTCACAATCATGACACATGTGCATGTACAACAGTAGCAACTCTTATAATTTGGTCTATATATTTAAATGGAGAAAAAAACTTCAAATTGAAACTTGAGAAGTTGGTTGGACTATCAGCGTGACCCTGTGCCCTCTTCTTTATCTCAGTCCTAACACAGCCAGGCAAACTAAATAATTCAGACCCATGAGAGCCATGGTTGGCACCCTAAATAAACTATTGTGCTAAATGAGATCACACAGGGGGTAGAGAAACACTGAGCCAATTGTGCCATCTACTGGTAAAGAATGGAAAGCCACATATAGACTTATTTTAGATGAGTGTGTTCTTGTACCTCTGTACTTGTGACCATAGGTATTAACAGAATAAAAAGATGAGAGAAATCCCTTGAAGTGAGTTTATTCATTTGACAAACAAATAGCTGAATTCAAAAGCAACAAAATGCACAAATGTTAAATTGAATAATCAAGGAGGTTTTCCTTCTACAACCATATTTCTTCTGGTATGATCAAATAAAATAAACATCACAGTGTTGGGTAAGGGGATTTAATTGTGGTGAAAGTCATAGTTGGGATTAATTATAGGAATAAGCAGCACTGACATACACCTTGGATCAGGTACAGTAGTGTCAAATGATAGGATGAGGTCAATAAAAGGTCCTCAGAAATATAGCAAATCAAACACTATGTCAAGTTATAGCATTACAAATGAGTACAATGTGGACAGTTCTGTCGAATAACTCAATCTACTGCATAAAACAGGTAATTATAGAGCATGTTTCTATTAAATAAGCCGTCTGGAATCATAGCTAATCATGTGTAAAAATTATAACCCGTCAGTGAATAATCCACCATCTTTTCGAAATGTGTTTTGCATCAGCAGGCTCATCCTCCATCCTCCCCCTCATCCCAACTGTTCTATAATTTACTCTGGATGCTCCGCCAGTTGCATAAGACACACGTGATTGTGCAGCCCTCTAGAAAATACCGATTTGGGATTAAGGGGTTTATTACGGAGTTTCTAATTTAAGGCCGGGGGAGGATTTGGGAAATCTCTACAGTGGTACTTTTGCTGAAAGACATCTGAAGAAGGTTGCAAACAGAAACAAATCAATTGTGTGTGTATGTAAATGTGGACATGTGTGAGTGTGTTGAGAATAGCTTAGGGGATTCCCATCGAGGCCTGTTGTTTGCTGCACAATCTCTGAAGATAAAAACCCTAAGTGATATCCCAAATAAGCTTATCGTTTTTACAGATAGAGATCCAATGATATGTCAACGCAAGCCTACAATGGAGTGCTTTTTAATGACGCAACTCTACCAGGAAATGTAATCTGCGTTAATGTGAAATAAAAGCCAAGTAATCTAATATAATTACACGTTGGAGTTACTCGGTGCTTTGAATATCATCTGATCTGATGCAAAATACTTCTCTATTGGACATTTCTCAAGACTTTAGACATCTTCTGTTCTGTTCTTTAAAGGTCTGCAGAATGTCTGAACTGTAGATGGAAAGTCTTCTCCGTCAGTGCCTCAGACATTTGCCTATAGGCAAATTTGTTCAGGCAAGCTAAATGTGAAATTCGGTCTTCAGGAAAAGCTAAAGCGACACAAACATGGCATTTTCATTTACAGAAGCTGCAACTGGGAGACGGTGAGACACAACTATGACTTTTTCTGACCATTTTTTTATGTGAAAAAGGACTTGAACTTGGAAAGTCTGATCCACTTTTGTGCTTGAATTCTTATGTAGGCTGCTCACAGAAAGTCTGAGGAGAACTCGAAAGTGGCAACATGGTAGCCGAAGGACAATCAGGCCAAAGCTCTAGTGAGACTATACACCGATTTTCATTGGCCTCATTGTTAGTCTGACTGCAGACATAGAGAGTTCTTGTGATTACTTCCCTGTAATCTATAGTCTCATCTCAGAGGTCAGAAGTCAGTTTACTCCTGTTTCTCTCTATATCTCACTTTCTACCCATTACGCTCTTCGGTCCTTCAAAACCCTCCTCTTCTGTGACCATCAGATCCAAAATTCATTTGCACTATAAGTGCAGGGACGGGAGCATTGTCAAGACTGCTTCACAACTCAGAACCATAATTGCTGAAATAGAGGGATAACTGGGAAGGCGGTCACATGTCGAAGACAAGAAGAATCTCACAGACGGACAAAACAAACATGAGAAGGTTGGTGTTTCAAGACTGTCAAGTTTCTGGTTCTAAATTGTATTGTTTTGGATGTGTGGAACGCTTAATTTGCAAGAAAAATGCTGCTCAAGTTTACATTCATCTTAAACTCATTGACCTCAGTAGGCTTCTCAAGAGAGCAAACCCAGAGCACCATGAAGAGAGAGGAATCCACCTTTAAACCTAATTAATTTGATGCATTTATTAAGACAAACATACATTGATTGTTATGTTAAGTTATGGTAATTGGTCATAGTAAGCAGTGAAAATGATTGCTATTGTAAAACATGAAATATCTTGTACAAAAAAGATACATAGGCCCTACATTATATACTATTATTATGTGATACAATTGTACAATATTTGAGGGGCATTCGGTCAGTAGGTTTTTATTCTGGGAACTTTGATGGTTTAGTGTAGCAACCGTTGGCAGTTTTTACAACATCCTTTAACAATAACACATTGTACTCTAACATCAGTTTATTTAGACCCAGTACCTCCCCCACGAGAATTGTTGTCATGGAATGGACCTTGAAACATAAATTGCCAATATGTTAGTGAAAAGTAGCTAAACTTAATTTTACTGGTCTGTACTTTTCCTTTGATGTCTCCTTAAATTATTTATTTAATTTGGACAGAGAATGTTGATATATTTTAGTAAGAGCTTAGATATTTGTGTTAATAATATGCGAAAGATGTGAAAACCCACTTGGCAATAATACCTTATTATTATTCTGATATTAAAGAATAACTGAACAGAATATATTTAACTACGAATAATCCTAACAATTAGACATTTTAAATGTTTATTTACACCCATGAGGCATTTTAACATAGTATATATTCAAACGAAACCCAGAGCACCATAATAATAAGAAAATAATACAATAATATGAATTGTCTTCTGTGTCACTTTGCACTATGCTTAATGACATTATACTGACGCCATTGTTTACCCACGTGTTTTTATAATGTAACAGTGTGAAAGTGGCAGCCACAGGGCGGTGGTAAGAGGCGGGTTTATCTCCTCTGTCTCCGAAGCATCTCTCCACGCTCACGGCCCCTTTAAGAAAGCAGCACCGAACACTGACGAAATTTCCTCGGCCCTGCTCCATGGCTCCCTGCCCGTTTCTGAGAAATCAACAAGAGACGAAGGCAGGCAGCAAGCTAGTATCTGTAAGCTCTGAGCAAAACGGTGCTGGTCACGGCAGCTCTCTCCAGTCAGGAGGGGGACGCAACTGGTTATTTTCTTTCGCAGTATTTCCCCTGCCAACACTCAGCAGGACACGACGTTTAGTCGGTGGACGGAGATACAAGCGGATATTATCGGGATGGATGGACCGAGTGAGCAGCTTTTCACCGTGGGACTGGCGGTAATTTAGACGTCCTGAGCAGCAGGTGTACTGAAGGATAAAACAGACTACAGGCAATCTCAGTGTTCATGAAACTTTGCTACGATTTACGTGCTGGGTAAGAATTTTTCGCTTATTTTCAAACGTTTAATGTTAGAAGAAATGTTGTTGTTTTATGTCAACCGCCTATCTGACTGTTTTGTCGGGTCAGCCAAAATGCGGATTATTTAGCTCTCATGTTGTGTATGTTTCAGATATGAGAAAATGTCCGACCATTTTAGGTTTTATTTAGACAGTTTTGTCTAGGCCTAACGTTAGCTGACTTCAAACTCTAGCGTTTAATTCAGTCGTTGAGTCCATTGCTAAAAAATATAACGGTCACACATTTGAATTCAACAGTGCAGTTTGGCCTAGCTGACGTCAAACTGTACAATCTTTGGAGGGAGTCCTGAACATCACAGTCTAACGGTCGTCCACTTTAAATCACATTTTAAATATAATATACTATTTATAAAACACGTGTTTTGCTGGTTGTGTTTTTTGTTGGTTTTTCTTAGCTTTAAAAAACCTGTAATATCCATATCACTAGAGGTGGGAGAAGTACTCGGGTCGTGTACTCAAGTAAAAGTACAAAAGTATTAGCATACAAATAAGTATCCAAATTGGTCCATTTCAGAATAATCTTTATTATATGTTTTTATTATAATTATTGATTCATGAATGTGTTATCAAAGCTGGTAAAGGTGCAGCTAGTGTTAATAACTTTATACTGCAGGATAGCTTGTGAATTTATTCCAGGTGTAACTAAAGACTTATTTAAGAGTTGATTGTATTTCACATCATTAATCCAAATCTGTGAAGTTTACCTCTGACTTGTAGTGGAGTAAAAGTACAAAGTAGCATACAATGAAAACACTCAAGTAAAGTACAAGTATCCCAAAATTGTACTTAAGTACAGTACTTGGGTAAATGCACTTAGTTACTTCCCACCTGCATATCACTGAGTATTATCTAGCCTGGCTACTTTGTGTTCATATTTTTACTGTTTTTTAGTAGTTATTGGTTGAGTGTTTTCATTAATGTACGTAACACAATGAAGTTGCAGACTTTAAAGTGGAACAGAAATCTTAATTAAACATTTGACCTAGTTTGACATTTTGGTCAAAGTTACATAATCTATTTTTAAGTGCATGTATATTAAGCTTGTGTTCACTGACAGTAGGAAGCTCTGACATCTATGTGACAGTGCTGTTTAGAAGGTGCTGTCAAACCTAAATTAATTACCGATTCATTTCAATGGGGAAGTAGGGACTAACATTTGTTTCCTACCCTGATTTGACCCCGCCTAACATGAGTTCAAATCTGGCGACACTGTCCCCATTGTCCATCTAATTTGAGAGAGGGCAGATTGATATGTTGTTAAGGAAGTATTGATTGTTTATATCTCTCATTATATAACCGCATGGTGAAATAAGAGAAGTAGAGGAGGAGGGGTGCTGCATCGAAGGCAATGAGTGCAATGACAGGTTGAGGTTAACACATTTTTTTTTTTTTTTAAATCATGTCTGTTGTAGCTAAAATGTTCCTTTGCAATTCTGGTCTGACTATGTTCCTGATGCACGAGGCCACTATATTTATATATCCTGTTCAAAACACTCATGCTAGTTGTCTGTGTAAAAAAGTGAATCAGCAGGTGAATCCTTATAACGGCTTACATTTATTACTTTCTGAGAAAAAAAATAGTTTTGTCTCCATTTGCATATTAGTGTTGTTTATGACTAAATCAATGCCAAACATATCATGCACCTGACTGAAAACACAAATTAAACATTCAAAAGCTGTACTGACCTAAAATAACCTGCACATGAGGTCGGCTTTGAAAAACGCATGCCATGTCTGACTTTTATTTTTGTTCAGCCAGCTACACGTTGCCCAGGGGTTTGCATTAGTACTTTAGATAAAAGCAAGTGCATTCTTCTCGTTCCGTCCATATCTTTGTTGTATCAAGATTTGGTGGCTGGAGATCTACCAAACCCCTGTTTAGCCTCCGACTACAAACAGAGCAGAATGTGTCTAATAGGTGTAATTAAATTTGATCATATCTGCAGTCCCCTCTTTTCCTCCCACTCTATCCCCAGGGATGACATCAAATTAAAATGAGGCTTTGTGAAAACATTTACAAAAAGCAATATAAACAATATGGTTTAAGGTGGTTGAATTGTTGCCTGTAGGCTGATTAGAAAAATATCGATGTTTCCCTTATGAATGTGAGCTACACATATGCTGAAGCTAGAACTTGGGTTATTCTGGTTAAAATGGGACATCGACATGTAAAATAAAGCTGATTCCTCTTTGTCTTAAAAAAGTTGTGCAGGACTCGGACTGAGTCCTAAAACCCTGAAAAGAGTTAGCATTGTACTAAACAAATGGTGTTAATATGTTGAGTTACTCCTGCTTAACAAAACGTAAAATAATCATAAAGGTTTGCTTGCCTCCGAACCTTTCTTTTTGGTATCCATGAGTGACTGTGATTGGCTGTTTTTGCTTTAATACAAAATCCAATGGAAAACCCCATTGACTATTTGTCGAGGTAGACCTTTGGATGCTAACTTCCGTGTCAGCCTACAGAAGTATGTCATCCATGTACCATTTTATGGCTCGTGAAAAGTGTTGAAATTGAGATTACAGGTGAGCCTTTTGCCGTACTGAGCCTTATTGCAGAAACCAAGCAGCATTGATGATGACAGGATGGCCTTACATGGTTTTATGCAGCTCAGCCACCAAAACAGAAACACTTCTCTGTAGCATTTCCAGCTAACAAGAACTTACTGTCAAACTTTCTCTTGTTGGAAAACAAAACCTGACTGCCCCTAATGTCCCAGAACAGACAGTAAGTGGCCTACTTGTGCGAGTGCTCCAGCCTGTATTGTGCTCAACAGTATGTGGTTGTTTAAGTGATTCCACCCCCCCCCCCCCCCCACTCTTTCATGCATGCTTGATAGGCGACAGCTATAAAAGATCTACTCATGTGGCTATACCACACCAGTATGCTCTTATAGATGCAGATAGCCAGGGGGCGGGTCGTGTATGGCTATCTAAGTAAGATGAGTGTATTTGTGAACAGCTGAGAAGATTACTGGCCTATCATACAGTGTACAAAACAAATTGATGTCAGATGAAAGTAGCCATGACCTGTTGCTATTGCATAAAAGAATGTGATGCATGTTATAGCACTCATAAATATGCATTTCTGTTTTATGGTTCATATCCAAACATACTTGCGATAGTGTAGTGAAACATAAGGCTGCTCGGCTAAAATAAGAATACATTTGACAGATTATATGACCTAAAGCTAACATAAATAGTCAAAAAGACTAAAGATTTTAAAGCATATTTGAAAATATCCTGGTTCCAGTTTCTAAAATGTGAATACTCTTGTCTTTTTGTTATGGTAAACTAACTATCTTAGAATTTTGGGCTGTTGGTGGGTGAATCTATTTGCTGATTGACCGAAGGATTAATCACTCGCTAAAGCAGTAATTACTAGATGAATTAGTCGAAACGACAGCTATGTAGAGCAGAGGGCATCCTAAAGCCTGATATCCATGAGTGACTGTGATTGGCTGATGGCTCTGAGTGTGACCAAGAGTAACCTCGAGCTACTACGGGTCATTAGTAGAAGATTACTCAGACGGACAAAAGCATACGCAAGCACTCCCAGAAGCCGTCTATATTCTACAGCTAACACACACCGGGATTATGAAGATACTCACCCTTAGCTAATGTACGCAGTAATAAACACCATCTCTGCGTGTGTGTAGCTATGTTTTTTATTTTGTTTTATGCCTCTCGGTTGTTGTGTCTTATTATGGCACCAGTGACAGTGTGTTAGCAATGGTTTATGATCACTGTGGATGGAGGTGTCCTTGTGTTTTGTACATAACCGAGCATATGAGGACGCTTTGTGTGTATTCCCTAGCGCATCATTCACATAGTGATCAGACCTTGAGATGCACCCCCCCCCCTTTCTCCTCCTCCTCCTCTCTCTTTTTCATCCTTTCATTTTCCTTTTGAAAATGTTGTGTATGGACTGGAAAAAGAAAACCTTAAAAAAAATAATATATATAAGAAAGGTAGCCTAGAGAACACTGAAAATGAAATGAAAGGAGGCGAGGGTTGGCATGTAATGGCCTTTTAGCAGCTTAGTTCATATGAATTATGACTGTGGTTCATAAATATTACAGCTTTCTTTCGGACTGAATAGAGCGTGATTTGTTTATTGCAGTTATTAATCGAACTCTGAATGAAAATGTCAAAGTGTTCGACGTTTTTCCGATCGGTAAATGTGTTTCTGATGCTTTCATTAGTCGCTATTGTTCTGGGTAGATTTTTCTGCTGGATAACTGCGGGTGGCTTGTTGCTCACTGAGCTGCAGCAGCAAGTCTGGTTCAGGTGCTTGTTGTGAGAACAGATTTCATTATGACAGGTGTCTTGACAAGAGAAGGGGAGTGTTTATCGAAGCTGCCACTCACCATGTTTCCACTCAGCCCTCAGGGAGGAAAGGTCAACCCACAAATCACCTCTGCAATCTCCACTTATGTGTTCCCATGTGGGCGGGTTATCAACATGTGGAAATAAAATGTGGTCTCTCTTTTTCTCGTCTCAGTCCCTCCACTTTTGAAACATTATTCACATTATCATTAAGAAATATAATATAAATGATGAACTGTGCCAAACACAGGTTTTTTATTTAGTTTGTAGAATAGCGTATGTAGGCCAGGACTTCTCTACAGCACCATATTCAAATAATATTTGTACATATTCTGCTTTTTTCAAATATTGCTCACTGCGATTTGGATATTGCACCATATTGCGAGTAACGAACTTTTTAAAATCTATAAATTAAAAATAATTTCATTATGGACCCTCATGGCAAAAACTCAATGTTGAATTTAACTCTTGTGTATTCTTTCTCTGCTTGTAAATGCATCATCTAATAATCCAGGAAATCATCAGAATAAAGTGTTACAATTATTTAGTAGCCTGATCCCAAGATCATTGGAGATGGAGAGATTAAGCTTTTTTTAGGACTGTTCTAAGATTTTTGGACAATTATCATGTTAGTGTGCAGTCAAACAAGCCTTTTTTTTTTATACAGGCAGATACATAACCAACTGTAGTAAAACGTCACTAGGAAGTTACGCATCGTCCTTCCTGATTGGGGACTGAATTTATATCCTTAAAGAATCGAGGGGGCAAGGGTTGATTTTTAAACGGGCTTTGGGATGTACCCTTTGTGTTCATATGAGATGAAAGTGACTGGTGTGATGCCTCCCTTATGTTTCAATCAATCAGAGAAAAGATCTCAGACAATATCCATCTTTGTAGTTTGACAACCAGTCAAGCAGATTAAGTAATCTCGGAGGGATTAAATCAAGAAGAGAGCGACCCTTAATCCTTTCCCAAATGACAAATCACAGCAGTCAAAAATCAACACGTTCACGTTGACTGCACATTGTGTAGCTTAGCTTCTGAAAAGGCAGACGGATTGTTTTGACAATGTGGTGACATACTGCGGTCGGCCATATTTATGCTATAGCCTCCTTGTATAGTAGTACTACAGGCCCAGGGGAATCTCACTGTTGTTTCATTCAGTCAGCATTTCTTATTAAAGAAAGCTTTAATGGGGTTGTTGGCTATTAGGCAACAATTTTGGGTGCATTCAGAGTTTAATAGGCCAATACGACATTTGTGATCTAGTGGAATTGTTTCCTTGCAGATGCTGTAACACTTTGGCACCTGTTCTGGTCTAAAAATGGCTCCTATATGGATGCTTATCGCAAATTTGTACTGGTTCATACTGACTTTAATGAGCATTAAAGAGGTCATCAATCCTATTTGTACATTTTTTCTATCAGTGAGAACTACTCCTAATGCCGTCTATATGTTGCAAACAATTCAGTAGCTTAACTCCTGTGATACGGGATGACAGAAAACAGCACCCCTGCTATATCTGTCACCATTAGCTTAGCGCTTGATACCAAAACACAAGCTCTAAGCCTTTTACCACCTCGCACATCCACTGCCACCGCTCCTGCTATGGAAATGAAATCAATACAAGAGGTGATGTGATGTGCTGCTGTCAACTGTTTGCCACAGGAGTGAAAGGATGTGGTCCTCATTTCTCTAACAGGGTTACTGGTTCCTTCTTCCTGTGTAGGCCAAAGGGGAAAGCACAATCACTGACAAGGTTAGCGCTTCAATGGCTTCAGAGGTTATGTCATATGTTACCTTGAAGAAGGTTTGCAGAGGGGAAAAAGCTGGATTAAAATTGATGGATTGGGTGGAAGATTGGACTGAGTAGGGAGTTTACAGTGCTCAATAAACTTTGACCTCATCAGAGGTCGCTGTTTCATGAAGTCACAGTTTGTTTTGTGGAAGTCACTGTCTAAAGCGAATCGTTTGAAGAGGTGGAATTAAGTGTTTAAACTGAGCATCGAATAAACATGATGACAGTTATTTAAGTTTATTTTTACCTTTGGGTTGTTGGATCGGTTGGTCCATCACTGTTTTTCAGAAAAAATTCTGGTGACATTTGAATGCTCTATGGTAATTTCCATATTATGTCACCTTCATCAAATGTGCATTTCACGATTATGTCAAAAATGATAATCACAACAATTTTGATCAATCTTGATAAATCGTTGAATTTTTAGACAAAACATGTAATGCACAGTCGATCATGTTCATTTAATTTTGGTAGCCACATTTTTTTTAAACATGATTGGTATTCAGTTCATCGTGTGCTAGGTATTGTGAATGGTAACCACTTCAATCATTTTACCACACAGTCATACTAACGACAGTCCCCTGTGTTTTGTGTCCCCTCAGGGTTGCCGTCCGCCATGTTAAGGTAAAGCCCAGGTGCGCGGTGTTGACCATGCTAAAGCGCCTGGACAAGATCCGCTTCAGAGGCCCCAGGACGAGAGAAGACTTCCCGGATCTGGCCGAGTCGCCGCCCGCCTCCGACAACGAATGTAGCGACGAAGTGCAGCTGAAGCCCAGACCATCTCTGCGAGAGACGGAGGAGATCCTGCGAGACCCTGTGAGTGCTCAACACGCATGTACATATGTGAACGTGTGTGTGTGTGTGTGTGTGTGTGTATCAGGGTCATTTGCAGGTCTTGGAAAAGCGGGATTATGATCTCTTTTTTTTTCATGAATTTCACCCTTAGTTCCCTCTTTCTCTCCTCTTTCGCTTGATATCTTTGACTGTCCCTTTTGAGTAAAGGGTTATCTCTCTTTTGTCTTCATTACACATTTAACCTTGACAGGCAGCGTTTCTTTTCAAATCTACCCATGAATTATTCTGTTTGAAAAGAATGCTCTGCCCTCAGTGTGACTCCAGCATCATTTCCAGAAAACAACAAAAAAACAGCGATGGAATATGCAGTGGCTGCTTTTTCAAACTTTCTGTTGTTGGAGGATCCTAAGCTAGCTTAATGCATTTTTAGGAAACTTGGTTATTTTATTCAAACCCACTTAGTTGTTACTTGGTAGGGAGGAAGTGATGCAAGGAAGGGTTGTCATTATAAAGATATATGGAGGAGATGAAAGCAATACAGAGACATGGAGACATGGAATAGAGATGGCAATAAACAGCAGACTAGAGCAGAAATGGTGAAAGCTGTGGTGAGATGAACACATTGGATACAGGGAAGGGAGTGAAAATAAAAGCAGAGCAAAGATTAAAAAGTGATAAAGGAGGCTAGAAGGCCGTGATCGAGCCTCTGAAGATTGGCATCTGAGGAGTCTAGAGGGGAGGAGACGGACAAGATGAACTGGAAATGATGAGAAAGGACAAACTCACCAGCCTCGACATGAAAATCAGATCATGTTTTCTTGAAATCTCTACTTCCCACGCATGGTACTGTTCATATTTTCATGAAATATTTTACTCTGTCTTATCTTTGTGGCTCTGTAAAACAGCCGTAATGTCGCCACCATCATGCACATGGAGTGATGGGAAGATAACTCAGAATGGAAACACAGATTAGACCAGATAATTATATCATTTCCTGAATGAAGACAATACCGATCTCTGCCTTCTTTCACTTTCTTTCTTTGCAAGTCATCAAATAAACATCTGTTGCTGTTGAGTGTAAGTCAGTGATCTAGCTGGCCATTTTTGCATATTCTACACATTCTACATGCATGCATAGACTTGTGCCTTCGGTCATGCACAGACAGGTGTATGTGTGTAGTCTGTATGTTTTCACCTGCGTTAAAACCATCCCACTGGAATGACATCACCTACATCACGGTGCTGATGACTCACACTTTGTCGCCTCAAAATAGACCAAGCTAGCACCCATCCCTGCTGGGAAACCCACGCCACACACAATTGAGGCATGCAGTCTCTCCCTCACACAGCATTCTGTTGCATTTAATATAGAAAAGCTGCCTCTCTGTTGGCTGAACTCTCATATTCCCTGCCTTTCAGAAGTCCCAGACACAATCCGGCGGCACCAGATTAAAATAACCTGCCTCTGAACGTCACCTTCATTACCTCATACGGTAACAGGGAGACAGAGTGTGCCCTTGTGCTGCATGCACTGGGACCTTTTGACAAACTAGCCTGTGACGTCCGTACTGAATAGGCTGAATGTCACCGGGCAGATGGTGTTTAGTCGTTGCACAGACAACTGCATGCAACCTCACTGGCCTCTGCTGCTCCATCAGGTGGCTGCCTCCCTGCATTTGTGGTACTTAGTATCATCTCCCCCATTATCTATAGTACATGCAGACAGGTAATGTGCAGGTTAGGACAATGCTCAATAATAACGTAGGAATAAACTCTAACGTTGGTGGGATATAGAAATATCATAAACTCAATTACTGTGGTTGTACAATGAATAATGAGCAACATAGATATAAATGTATTTCTAGATTATTTCTAGTTGAATGGATACATTTTATTATTTTAATTCAAACTCCCACAAAGCTACAATATCATTTATTTAAAACGAACATTACGATGCAACTTAGCCAACCATCAGTGCTGAACCGCCCTTTAATTTGCAGCTCGGTGCAGAAGTCAGTGCTCTCAGTGGGTCATTAATGCTCGAGCCTGTCATCGTATCCGCAGAATTTAAGACTAATTCTCTTATCAGTTTCATAGTCAGGGCCAAGGAACAACTCTATAATGGCAAAAAAACAAAAATCCTTTAACAATCGGCAGTTCTGGATAGATTTATCTCAATTTTGTAGCAATCTAAAGTTAAACCGCTTGTTGTTTCTTATGGGGTTTGCATGTATCCACCACAGCGTACTTAAGAAATAGATCAACCACATAGATTTTCTCCCAGCTTGCAATACAGAGCTGTGGATTGCAGCCTTGCAGCTGATGCCGGATGATTGTGATTGTCTTTACCATGAAGACTGCTGCAAAACTCCCTGGTGGTGATTCTTTGTGTTTTGGTTTTCTATTTATCTACTATTTTAAAAGTGATAATATTTGAATGTACAAATGTAGCTGGTTTGCCCCGCTGGTTTACTATCTGCAACATACCTGAGGTCGATAGTGTGGACACAAAAAAAAGTCAGACAACTTCAGTGTTTACAGGAAATCAGTTTTGTTGGCGAGGAAGATGTATGGTTTCTCAGAAAAGTGAAAGTAGAACAGGCAGTTAAGATGAAATAATATGTCAAGAAAACTAAAACCACACTGTCAGAATTTCATTGCATCAGCAGAAGATTTGTCAGTATCTCTAAAAGATTCTCTTGTATATTTATCTCAATTCAACTGTTATGTAGCATAGAGACAGGCAATAAACACTAGATTCCATCATATTATTTTACTTGTATTGGTACATATATGTGGTCTGACTTGCATTTTCTGTGACAGCCCGATATCTTTGTTAATTCTTGGTTGATTTAACAACTTCCACCAGCCTGCTAAAGCAACAATTTGGCAAAAATGGAGAAGGGATCCTGTGGTTTTGTGTTTTTACAAGGAAAACAAAGTGTTGAAATCACACCTTCTCTACTGCCCTTCCCGCTGTGAGATACATCGAGCCTCATGAGAAAGTTTCAGGCTCAGCAAGCACACGCCTTTTCCCAACAAAGGAGAAAGTATGTGAGATCCCTCGAGCTCATCTTTCTCTAGGATCAACCAGACATTTCTGTGTCAGGTCTGCACTGGGGAAACCCCACAAACAGTGTGCTTCTAGAGGCCGAGGACAGAGAAGAAGAAGAAGAAGAAGAATGGATTGAGGATAAAAAAGATGACTGAGGAGGATCGGGATATCAGTCAGTGGAAGTCTATAAACAAGAGGAACAAATGGTGACCAGACTCGGACAGTTCAATAAGTCCTGCCATCATTTTAAAAGTGATGTTTCTGTCGCTGCGGTCACAGCCGTTGCTAAACAGGAAAAAAATGTCTTTGAAGAAGTAATGCTATCATTTTGAAATCAATACAATTATGTTCAAAACGATTAATTTGTGGGAAACGTTGATTCATTTACTAAGTAGACATGTAGTTAGTGGGATAATGTGGAGCTAGCCAGTCATTCTTTGCGAATACTACCACAAAAGGGTGACCAGGACCCCCGACCACATGACTGCCTAGCTGTAGGTTATCCCTTACATACAGTATGTACTTTACTCGCATATCTTTTCCTTTGCTTGTTTCTTTTGTCGTGGGCGATATACTGACTTTGTTGTCGTAGAAATGACAGAAAGATAACCAGAGGTGTTGATTGAGACTTATTTGCAATTTAGATTTCCTAATGCAATGTAGAAAATTAGTATTCTACACCAGACCAAAGGGATAAGTCTTACATTTATAATCAGTTTTGCTCAGTGACCTTACGTCCACCTTGAGCAGAACTAACAGCTACATAATCAAAAGCGTGGGAGTGGACTGAAGCAAAGTTAAATAGCATAAATTACAAGTTTTGATGCTTTAACGCTGTCAATCGTAGAATACAAAGTCATGGTAAAGATACTGGAGGACACGGTGAGATTGGAGGAGGCAGAGGGGGGAATACGATAATTAATCAGCCGATTATCGTCCTCTGTGACGTCAGTGCTTGACCTACTTTTGATTACAGGAGGTACTGACTGAGATTTGACTACCTCATTAAATAACATGAACTTGAACGTCCTGTCCTTATTGATTTGCATTCTGGCAACCAACCACAGAGCTGTGGCTGATCATCGTAATGCAGCAAAACTTCTTTACACTCCCGCCGCCTGCTCCTGACATTTAATTCACACACCCTCTTTTCTCTTCCCGTCTCAATCCTTCACTCAGCATCCTTTTTCCTCTCCGTGACACACTCCCAAAAGAGGCATTTATTTGTCTTCTTTGAAGTGCATCTTTATTCAGGGAAACTCTCCATCCTTGTCTCCATGTCTCCCCACCCGCAGATCTTGTTAGGCGTTTTGGCTCGCCCCCAAAGCACATTTTTCAGGTCAATGTCAGTTTTGTGCTATCGCTCTTTTCTCCCTCCCTGGCACTCCCGCGCTGCCTCTTTGCGGAGAGCACATCCGCCAAAGACATTGCGGTGGTGTGTCTACGCAGGGACACACAAACCCATGCTGTCGGGGAGAAGCTGCTGCAGCCTGTGTGTGTGTGTGTGTTAGTCTTTTAAAGGACCCTTGCTGTAGTCGAGCAGCAAATTCTCAACCTGCAGTGCTCATCATCCGCTAGCAGCTAGCCGTCTCTCCCCTCCTCTCGCTCTTTCCTTTCCTCTCCCTCCTCACACTCTGTCCCACATTCCTCTCCTCTCTGACAAAGTCGTCACCTCTCCCTCATTCACTCGATACACCTACACACATGTTGTGTTGCTAGTTGTGTGTGTTAGGGGTTTAAAGCCCTGAGTCATAAGGGTGTGTGAGTCATCAGTGTTGCCGTAGTCGGAGGAAGGGATTCTCCTCTATTTTTCGCCTCCTAGCTCGCTACAGCTGGACTCAGACCGGGATAGGACGCGTCAGTGTGAGTCATGGTGCCATGCTATTCCATATGTGTGTGAGTGTGTGTGTGCGTTAGATCATATGGGATTCCCCTGCTTGTGTTCTGTTGTTATGAAGTAATTCTAAAACCAAATCTTTTTTTGTTTTTCTTGTTTGTGGATGCAAATGTTTGTGTGCGTGTGTGGTCCGTCCCCTGTATGTACACCTGTGCGTGTGTGTGTGTGTGTATGTGTGTACACAGGCTGGTTCGGGGTCTCCCACCATGGCTGCGGCCATCCAGGACTTCCAGAGGTCGGAGTCAGACCGACTCAACGAAGTCAAAGGTCACCTGGAAATTGCCTTACTCGAGAAACATTTCCTACGTAAGTATACGCACACGTGCACGCACTCAAAGCAAATGAACAGTCTAAGAGTATTGCGTTGGGTACGTGTTATGCCAATAACAATTGTGTTGCTCTGTTTCTATTGGTAGTGTTTACTGGTTTTAATTTCCCGCAGAATGCTTTGTCATCTATTTTCAGTTAGAGATTCCCCTCATTACCCAGAATCCCCCTTGCCAGTTCCCAGAGAAAAGTCCTGTACTTGTGTCGTTAAGACTGTGGTTGTACAGTTTGTGAGGTGAGGTTGTCTGCAGCATAAGTCTAGAGATAGTGACTTTGTGATGTGGAGATACAGCCTGTTTCTATGATCTCTTATCTATAGCGCCTTTCCGACACTTTCTAAATGCATACCAAATGGTGACTGCAGCAGGAAGCCTCTGTTTGATGAGAGGCTCTTGTTAAAGTCGGCTGTTGCTGAAATGAAAATCTCTCCTCATCACGCCACGCTGGCTTACTGATGTCTCAGCTATTTATTGTAACAATAAACATGCTCTTAGTTGTGTTTCTTTTGAGAGGGATCAACTTACAGCTTCTAATGAGATCTAGCTCTTGTCTCTAGGGAAGTTCAAAGCACTTTTATGGTAGGTTGATTTGGATAATGGCGAATGAGTGTAATGTTTCTCTTACAGTTGTTATTGTGTGCATCAGCTTTTAAGCTACGAGCATCTTGTGTCTGCTTTGTGGTTTCACAGTCTCGCAGGAGGTTGTGCATAGCTTTCGGCTTCTGTCTGCAACTGGGCTGTAGCAGACCAACATAAAACACCATTGTTATGCTTTTTACTTAAGGAAATGTGTTGCTCTAGTCTAGTCAAATTTAAAGCTATAATAATACCCAAATGTATCCGTTGGCATTATTTAATTCCACTGCTATTTTCTATTTAAATTATACTGCATTTCATACAGGAATTTCATCCTGTCTTATATTACAAATTTGGGATAGCTCAATTAACTGCTCTCTGTTATGGCAAAACTTCTCTCAAATGATGTTGAAATATAAATCGGCACATGAAGTGAAATGGAATTAAAGGGGCTCATTCAGAAAAATCCTATATTAATCTGACGACAGGGATATTTACAGGGGACACTGCAGATAAACGGCAAACTGAAATATGTAGATTAACATAAAATAAAGAGACAAGCTCATTAAAAAACAAATAAGTACACAACCAAGGTAGAAAAGTAAGTAGCAGCATTATCTCAGTAAGTAAACAAATACAGTTGTCTATGTAGCAGCCAGTAACAACATCTCTTAGTAGTTACAAAAGTATATTACTGTTGGGCAAATATTTTCCAAGGCCCATAACCTTGACCCAGTGTATCAGGTTAAACTGTCCTGACTGAGCACACGCACCTGTAACCTTGGCTGCTGTGCTCTCAGTGTTTTGGCTCCCTGCTCCTGCCTGTTGGCGTCAGCTGATAGAGGTGTTATGATTCTATCTTGTTATGCACAATGTTGATTATTCTCTCTGAACTAGCTAAATACATGGGTCTGGGGTAGAGTTCTTCAGAATTGACGTGGCAACTCTACCGTGAAGTCAGAACCTCTGACTCTTTGACTTGTTTTGTGAATTCTCTGGCCGAAGCTCCAAATAAACCGTCAGTGTTTGCCATCAAAGCTCCAGCTCTCCTCGTGTCTCTCTGAGTCCTGACTCCAATTGCTTCAGAAGTTTCCCCCACAATTACCAAATTCAGAAAATATCTTTGATTGAGGGATTGATTCCACCTCAGCAGTCAGCAGCTAACAGTGCTAACACTAATAGCATTGCGACAGAGCTAACTATGGTAACCTAAGGGGAAACTGGAGTGTGGGCGTTATGCATCCACAACGATCAGAATACCATTATTCCACTATATTGTTACATGGAAAATAGTTATTTGCTGCTATAGTAATGTTCTGAATGTTTTGTAGATAACTTTTTGACTTTACCGATATTTCAAATGTACAGTAACAACAGTTATATCCTGTTTTGCTTACTGTATGCAACCCAGCCATTCATGAAGCAAGCAGTGCATCCTAAATGACCCTAGAAAAACGTTGTTTATTCATTTAATGTCCTTAATTGCTCAACAGGTTAGTGGAGACCAAAAGCTAAAAGAAGAGTAATTATTGAAATGTAATAAGGGGCTGTCACTGTCGATATGGTGTAGCTGCATCCCATAGTGAGACTTTGACCAACCTAAAAGGATCTCATCAAGGGTAGTTTTATGGAGACCTAGGACTAGTAACTTTGCTGTTATGGATACAATGTTTATATTGTATACTAAAGTCCCACAAAATAGAAGTCATGGGGAGTCCACCAACTCCTACGCATCTACCAGTGTGTCCAACCTGGTATCCCATGAGAGGTACTAGTTGTCCTGTAGCAGCACGTTGACAGTCCCGTGGTGTATGGACTGTGAATTCCCCTCCTCCCCCCTCCCTCTCGACTATGTATGTCTATTCGAGAGAGAGAGACAGGAAGAGAAAGTGAAAAGCATAATACCTCAGGCTACGTCCTCTCATAACGGGCTGAATTCATTGTAAAACTGTCAGGATGCTGGCTAAATTAGCTCATCCTTCATGGACTTTTTTTTTTACTGTTTGCCCTTTCATTTCTCCTCATCTCTTTCTTAAAATAAATCCTCTAAAGCTCTCTCTACCTTTCCCCCCCCCAGATTCTGCCCCACCATTGCTTGTTTTTTTATTTTCTCATCTATACCCTTCTCTTCTTTCACATGCTTTTGCTTTCTCTCTGAGACTTTTTTGGAACTCTGGTAACCCCCCATGCTTTCACATACACAGTCCACCTGCTGAAACAGCCGTTTCGGTCGTACAAATGTTCTTACTCTGCCTAAGATGGCAGCCGCTTGGCCTTCTGCACAGGGACTCTGAAGGGGAGGATCGTTCATACACTGCTTTTTTGTTGTTGATTGGAAAAGGGTAGTAGTACCTCTGGGTAATGTTGTTGTTTTTCCCCCCTTCCAACTTTACCACAGGAGCTTTGTGTATTTATTCCCTGTGTTGTACCCGTCCTCCTCTCTCACTCTCCGGTTATCCATTTCTCTCATGCCTCTTGTCCGGCCGGTGTAATCGTACTGCTGGGAACACTGAAGCGTTACAATCCATTTGCACCTAATGGAGTCTCTGCCCTGCACTGTTTCTACTATTTTCCTTTGCAATCTATTTAAACGTGCACTATTGTGTGTGCTGTAGAAAGAACTACATGTGTATTCATCATATTTTCAGTTACTTGTTGGGAACCGATGAATAAAGACTAGTTTATATACAGTTTGTCGTTAGCTAGAGCTAATGGGATTAGCAGGGTGAAACAAAAGAGTCCTTGTAGCAAGATATATGGGTTTACGTGTTGTATAATGCTTTTCTAGAGCATACAAGAGGTAATGTATGAAAAACAACAACACATTACTCTGAGAATACCAGATAGGGTTTGCATATTGACTTCAGATTTAGAAATGCAATGACTTAAAGTTATAATTCTAGGGGCAGCAAATAATCCTTGCTACTCTGTCAGCTATACAACACAGGAACAACTGCTGTGTCTGTTAACAACACAGCTGAACTCACATTGTTTTATTAGTCAGTCAATAATTGGCTTTTTTCCACCATGCCATGACCAAGTGCGATCTGATTTCATGCTGTACACACGCTACAAGTATTTTTCCACACATCATCACACACAGCGCAGTAGGTGTGCCGCCTGTTGCTCTGCATCTGACAGCTAGCAATGGCTTGCTCTTGTTCCATTCAACGAAAAAAAACTGGAAGTGACCAGTGCTCTCTGTAGACGTGTTTTCGATGAATGATCACGACTCCTGTTACACTAACCACTATGGCAAAAACAGTGTGTTTCCTTTGTTTGCTTCACAATAAAAGCTACCCCCATGTTTTGTAAAGCATTCGATGTGAGGCTGCAGCAGTAAGAAATGCTGGCCAGAGAGTGCCTTTATTTGAGATGCAGAGTTGAAAGGGGGAGATAGACGAGATGATATTGCCTGAAAGGTTTGGCGTGCTCAGGAGTCGAACCTGCTTATTTTGCAGCTGACACAAAATGTTTTTACTACATACAAACTAACTCAAAACATAAGAACATGAAATGGCTATACAGTATTTGTGTGGGTTTTTTTTCAGTGTAGATTTAATATTTTCATATGTTTTGGAACGTTAGTTAGACAAAACAAGCTAGAGAATATAAAGACCTCCCGTTGGAATTCTTTATTTACAGCTCAATCTCTCGCAGTCTATATGGAAGACAATGTCATGATTGAAAAGCCAAACTTGCTTTCAAGTTTCAGTCTAGATGTGACCATCAGCTTAGCAGCTAAAATATGAATGAGTTCAACTTTTTTAACTCTTACAAGGGTTTATTTCATTTAAAGCAACAGTTTGATTCCTCTGTATTGTTTTGGAAAAAGGAGCAAAGTAAATAAGACTCGCACCAAACCTTGAAGTGTGTGTTGGTTTGTGCTTTTTCATCAAATGGTTATTTTGTCTGCTTAGATCTCAGAGTGATCTGAGCGTAGGCGTATTTTCTTTTTCCCTTTCTCTCTCGCCCCTTTCCTCTCCGCTGCTTTAAATAAAGCCGGGGCCCACGCTGTATGCTAAAACAAACACACTCCTTAAATATATTGTCTCCTGCCTTCACAGGAGGCACGAGTTTCCATTACCCAATGGTGTGTGTGTACTTTGATACAATGACCCATGCCATTTCCCTTGGCAGTTCTTGTGATTGACCAGCGCTATTCTTAGCACACTAAATTGGTTAATTTGTAACTATGTTTCCGGACGGGATCACATCGACACAGCCACATATGCTGTATTAGGGCTTTCTCTACCTTCCTGGTCCTCCTATATTCCAGTCCTCTCACTCTCCCTCTGTTTGTATGTACGCTCCCACACTCCACAACAGACTAATCAGATTAGTTTAAAGGGCCAGCAGTAGGCTCTCAATAATTTGATAAATGTATATAATTCACCTCATTCT